ACCCACATCTCTTGTAGGCTTTGCTCTTTTCTCTTGTTTCTCTGCTCTATCTCTGTGATGGTTTTATTTAGTTGGAGGGTGTTATCTTTAATCTCTGAGATTCTTTCTTCTGTTTGATCTACCCTGTTCTTGAGACTTTCCACTGTATTTTGTAGTTCCCTGAATTGATTCTTCATTTCCAGGAGTTCGGTTAAACTTTTCTTCATTGTGTCCATTTCTTTTTCCAGGTCCTGGAGGCTTTTTGTGGTTTCTTTGTGTTGGTTATTGAGTTGTTGTTGCAGCTCGGTGAGTGTTCTCATGATCCACAGAGGAAATTCCTCTTCTGTCATTTTGGTTGCCTGATTTTGGTTGGTGCCCGTTTCTAGGGGGCTGGGGCTCCTCTTTGTGGGTGTGTTTTCCGTTTGGTTCTTCATATTTCCTGAGTATCTTCGCTGATTTCTTCCCATATCGATCAGTTGTTGTTTCTTTCATTTAGGTTTTTGTTTGGGTATTCACACACCTTGTTTAGTTTCTGAGCCGTTAGGTGGTGTCTGTGGGTGAGATTCGACCACTCCCTGTATGAGTCAGTGGGTGCAGTGAAAAGGCTGTGCAGGATGCCGTCCCTGTCAGTAGGTGGCGCTTGCTTGGAGGAACAGGCTATGCTGTTGATTTTGTGTCCTGTTATCAGCTCTTGTTCTGGGCGGACCTGGGTTGGGTAAGCCTGCCCTCAGGCACCACCAACGTCGTTAGCAGGGATCAAAATTCTGTTCTCTGCTTCCAGGAAAAGCTGTCAGGGTGGGGCTGGAATGGTCCCGCTCAGCCAGAAAGTCTGCTTTGTGGGGGTGGGGCTGGCTTGAGACCCGCAGTCTGGAGCAGGCCTCGCTTCTTTCCACCCTCCCCAACTCCGCAGCTACTCATGGGCCTCTGCCAGCAGGCCAGACCACACGCCACCAGGCCTCCCCGGACTGTGATGCCAGCGGGGAGGTTCCCTGCACAGGAACGCCACCTGGGCTGGGCGCACAGCCTCCCTTTGGGGGGAGGGTTGCCTTCTAGGACACTGATCTGCCCCTGGAGGCACACACACCTCAGCAGGCTGTTCACAAATATCCCTTCTGTGCCCCAGCAATGCTAGACCTCGGTGCACAGGATCTAGTCTGCAGGTCCAACCTCTGGGTCCAGAGTTCAAACTGTATCCCCACCAGGCAGAGGAGTTCTGGTCCCAATTCACCCACAGGGAGCCCAAGCTGGGTCTATGTCTCTCAGCCTCTGAGTCGGCACCGTTCTCCTGGGAACACCGTGCCAGCAGCACCTGGGAGGGCTGGCGGGTAGGAGCTCACAGTCTGAGTTCCCCTTAGTCAGCTGTAGGGTCCCAAAAGGGAAGGTCCCGTTCCCTGGAGGTGCCTCTGGCTGGTGGCTGTATTGTCTCTCTGGGCAGCCGCAGGTAGGGTTGGCGGAGGGGAGGAGGAGGCAATATGGCGTCTGCCGCGAGGCTCGGGAATGTGCACACGGAGTGCCCCGAGGGATTTGGGAGTCTGGTGCCGCGTCCGCTACATACACTATTGGCGAGACTGCAAATTAGCACAACCTCTATGGAAAACAGTATGGAAATTCCTCAAAGAATTAAAAGTAAACCTACCATTTAATCCAGTAATCCCAGTACTGGGTATTTACCCAAAGGAAAATAAGTCATTGTATCAAAAAGACAACTGCATACAAATGTTTATTGCAGCACAATTCACAATTGCAAAGGTGTGGAATCAACCCAAGTGCCCAACAGTTCATGAGTGGATTAACAAACTGGTATAGGTATACTACAGAATACTATGCAGCCATGAGGAAGGATGAATTAATGCCTTTTACAACAATTTGGATGGAACTGGAGACCACTATCCTAAGTGAAGTATCTAAAGAATGGAAAACAAATACCACATGTACTCAGTATTAAACTGGAACTGACAAGCACACATGTGCACAGTAAAACTCAGTGGAAATCAAGCAGGGGGTAGGGGGAGGATGGATGGGGAGAGGGGGGATGAAAACCTACCTAAGGGGTACAATGAACACTATCTGGGTGATGGGCACACTTACATCCCTGAATCAAGCATAACAAAATCGATACATGTAACCAAAAACATTTGTACCCCCCCCCGTAATATTTTGAAATAATAAAAGTAAAAAGTATACATTATATGCCTGCATCAAAACATCACATATACCCTATAAATACATATAACTATTATGTATCCATAATAATTAAAAATAAAACATTTTTAAAAAATGAAAACAGTATAAAAACAAATATTTCTTTCTGCAAGTAAAACCTTGGGACAATCAAGTTAAATGACTCTGCATCATAACATTAAAAAATGTCTTCATGGTGGGCAGACCTGGAGGAGCTTGTTAGTAAACAGCACCAGGAGCACAGGGCTGAGGAGTGCCTTGTGGGGAGGTGGGGGAGGGGGAGAGTGTGGGGTGGGAGCAGAGTAGGCAGTGGAGAACTGGTCTCAAGCGACTGCCTACATGTACTTAACAAACATTAAAGTATTAATCAGGGAGTTGAGTCCCAGAAAGTATTCAAGGAGCTGAATTGGTAGAATGGACTTGTAGTTACTGGTGGCTAAAGGTTCAAAGACATAAATTGGGTATGAAAGGAAATGTGACCTTATTTTGTTGTAATAGCCAAGTGTGGGGATGTTATTAGTTACATAATGATCCCTCAGTTAATTACCCTGGGGTTCTGACTTTATCTCCAAGTGTGAGTGCATTGACTAGCACTCACAGAATAATAATGAAGAAGAGTGGTGGTAGCTGGACTTTTGTTCTAGCTTCTGATATTTATGTTACTAGCCATTGGTTTTGGAGTGTTATTTTTAACATGTTAATGTTATCCTCATTTGACTTTTTTTAAAAAAATGAGAAATGGATGTTGAATTCCATGACTGATTTATTGTTTTCTACTTTGATCTATTAATATTAGATTATTAGTTTTGAGGATTTTTAAAGTACTTCTTTTAAAGATTTTAATATGTAGCTAGTGAAAGGGGAGTTAGCACTATGTTAGTCCTAACAAGCAATGGAAAAACTTCCTTTTCTTTTATGCTCTGAAACAGTTTAAATAAAATAACAATGATTGGGTTGAAGACCTGAACAAATTTTTGCATATAAAACCATCTGTGCTTTGAGAAGTAGCTACAAGAAAATCAACAATTTCACCAGGGCTTTCACATTTATTAGCATAGATATATAAAACTTCTTATTTCCTTTATGAATTTAGTTCCTTTTTTCTAGTTTTCTTTATTTGTGGTTTTGCTGTCTTTTAAAAAACAAGCTAGATAATGTACTGGTTTCCAATCGCTGCTATAACAGTGTGACACTTAACAATCATTCCAGAAATGTTTCTCACTAAATCTTGAAAGAGAAGTATATAAATTCCCAAATCACTTTGTAGGATATTAATATCTTCTAATATATTTTTCTAAAATTTCCTAGAGTGAATTGTTTTCTAAGAGTGAGCCCCAGAGATAAAGACTACTGTTATATATTTGATAAAGATATTAGGTAAAAAGCCTATCCATGTACACAACTATTATAATAAAAATTCAAGGAAGGCAGACAAACCTGTAGCATTAGAATTTCTATGTGGACCTTATTTGGAAACCAGTGTTAATTTAAACCATACATAATTTGAAAGGGTGCTTTGGTGTGTGCCTATCTTTAAAGGAAGGCTTCAGGGAAACATGACAAAACAAACCAAGACTCTAATAATCTCACATTCAGGAACTTTATTAACAGACAAGGGAAATAACTTTATTCTATCTCTACAGCAACTTTTCTGTAGCCTTCTCCACATTAAGATAAATTAAACATAAACTTGTTTTAAATTCAATCATTTTTCAAAAATGAAAAACCTATACATTATTTGTAAAACCTGTTTGACACATTAGAAATAAGACAATTAAGTATTTTTCAAGCTAAGTTAGGGCACTTTCTTGGCTATGAAGAAGGAAAAGTTAGAAGCCATTCTTCTAAGTTTCACTGTTAGAAGAAAAATTAACTATACCATTCAAACTAAAATCTCCAGGGACTCTGAAAAGACACGTCAATGCGAACATCCCTGAAATTCCAAAAGAATCTGGACCAAAGGCAAACTTTTGAACAAACAGATGCCAAAAAGGAAATTGTTTTCCTAAGACAGGAAGCCACTCATTTTTTTCTCACGTATTCTATCACAAGCAAAGCCAAATAAGAGGATCATACACTCTTTTAAATCCATAAACATTTAAGACTTTGGAATTAGAAGTAAAACCCTCATGGAGATGAAGGTGGAATAAACTGCTATTAGTGACATCTGACCTCCTCTTTTGTGTGACTCAGATTTTCAGTTACTACTGGAAAAAGGGTACAAACTTCAAATAAAGGAATAGCATGCCCTTCTAAGGGTAATAATCGGTTATCTGGAGATATAAATAATTGGTTTATGACAGTTAAAGATGTAGTGCTCTAAAATATTTTTAAATTTAACTTCTAATGCCTTTGCAGGACTACAATGCTACGGAAACAGATGTCTTACGCCCACATTTAATGTCTCCCATGCTGTAAGTATATGAGAGTATCACCTACACATTAACTTGCATCAACAATTTTCTCTCAACTTGTTTCCTGGGTCCTAAAAACTTGATCTCTTATTTGACTTCCTGCATTTTATTCCATCATACACAACACTCCTGATTTTCCAAACATATGGGGTTCTGAGTACTATGAATATATCAAAATCCATGGAATTGAGCTGAATGATATGATTGTGTTGGTTTGAGGCCCATCTTTAAAAAATTGCCACAAAATACTTAGGTATACAAAATGTGTAGACTATATTAAATCAGCATCTGTATTGCCATTGGCCAGCTGAAGATATGAAAAACATTACTGATACAATTGAAGTACCCCAACTTTTCTCCTATGAGGAAATTCCTCCCAGTATTTGGTGTTTTTCTTTTCCATTTATGTAGTCTTTCACTATAATTTCCCATAAACAATGCATATTATTTTTCACTCTTTAAACTTTAAATAATTACCATGGTCTTCTAAAACACGCCTTTTTTTGCTCAATTTTGTTTCTGAGTTTCATCCCTGTTTTTCATGTAGCTCTAATTATTTTTTATTGCCATAGTATACCATTATATGACTATTCCATATAAATCCATTCTCTTATTGATGAATATTTAGATTTCCAAGTTCTTATGACTTACAAATAATGGTGCTATAAACTTTCTTATTCATTATCTCATTGCACACATGTGATACTTGCTCTGGGACATGCACCTAAGAGAACTGTTGGATTATAAGGTCTTCAACATTACTAGAAATGCCAATTGCTTTGCAAAGTGGTTGTACAAATTTATGCTCCTACCAGCAGACATAAGGCACCACTGCTCTGTATCCTTTGGGATTACAAGCTCTTTGTAAGCAGAGTGTTAGCTGTTGGAATCCTCTGTGGCCGACATGAGGCTATTCCTCTAACTAGTACAACTTCTAGTTACCCCAAGGATATTTCTACACTGGAGCCATGTTTCTATGTCAATTTCTAGGTTTTACAGTTCTGTGAATTAGAAGGTAGTGTGAATTCAAACCTTGAAGCCATGGACAGTTTAAGCCCACAGTCAGAATTCACAGAGGGGCCTCTTATTTATTTTATTTTAGGTTCCTTGTGCTCTTCCTGGCCAGCAAGTGAATTTCTTTTCTAGGCTACCTTACACTGAGGGTGTTGGTCATTGAAGATCTGGGCATTATGTGAGGTTCAATTATAACTTCATATGTCATATGCACTGAAAGCTGTGAGTGGCCATTAACATCTGAACTCTTTGTTGACAGAGATTGTTACCCTCCTCCCCAGCCCCTAGCTCACAGCCCCAGGGCCTCAGTGTCATTTCAACTTACCCTCTTAGTTTTCATTTTATTGGGAATCATATTTCTTTTATTTTCTTGTTAAGGCCCTTGGGGATAAATTTTTCTCTTATATTCTTGTACCCTCAGCCATCCATTTAATAGGGAAGAAGTTAAGTGACTCTATTTTCGTATTTCTTTTAATAACTAAAAAAGGAAAATAAAAAGCAAGAAGATAATTTTGAGGTTCTATTTATTTCAATGTGTCTTATTTTCTACATCAGCAGTGTCCTATAGAACTTTGTGAATGATGGAAATGTTCTATAATCTATTCTGTCCAGTATGGTAGAACCTTATCACATGTGGTTATTGAGTATTTGAAATATGGCTAACATGTCTGATAAACTAAAATTTTAGTATTATTTAATTTTAATCAATTTAAATAGCCATGTGTAATTAGTGGTTATTATATCTGACAACACAGTTCTAAATAGTAATATTCTTAGTCCTTTGGGTGATTTATTTCTGATAGCCACAGGATGAAATAGTTGAGATGTGACTTCAGAATATCTACTACCACAAAACTGTTATATCTACTACCACAAAGCCAGTATTTTGATAATCAGGTATTTCTTGTCTAACTTGTCTTTCCAGGGATTTTCAAAGATCTATAGTGACCACGTTTAAGTGAGCATTCTTTCCATTGCCAGCTTCTGATCTGAAAGTCAGAGAATCACTGTCTGAAAGCTTTTTCAAGTGTATTTATGGAGTATTAAAGTGTCAGGAAATCCTAAGGTAAAATAAGTAGGAGTATAAATACACATATTTAGAATGCAACAGAAGATGATATGATTAATAGTATAATTTGGCTTACTTTTGAACTGAAAAGTTTACTGGTAACCTGAAAATATGTACGAGTTAAAACATGAACACTCCATATGATTTGTTTATAGCACTTCATGGAAAAAAAACCATGCCTGCTGCTCTAGACTTAGATTGGGCTTACACTTATAATTTTTTAAACTTTCAAAGGGCATTGTATTATATGAAATAATGCTTAACTTTTGAAATTTTTTGCCATAGGTACAGGTTAAGAAAGCTAAAGGGAAAATGCAGGTGTGAACTATAATGAGAACACATATTTGGAAACAAGGGCACGTAAGCCTGGCTGGCACATTTGGTCATATCATCAGCTGGCATTCCAAAATAAAATTGTGAATATTTTTCACTATGCATTTCTCCATATACATTTTCTATGTTCTTATATAAAATTGATGCCCACAGGTTTGGCATTCAGGAGGACACTGAAACAGATTCTGAAGTAACTAAATCGTTTCATGAGATGAACAGACCAGGTCAAAAATTAAAAAGCTAAACATTTGCTTTTAAAACTTACCACAGAATTCCAGATAAAAGTGATTTAAACTCATGCCCTGAGTCTGAACCATGTACACATATAATTCAAAATATCTATAAGAACTGAAGCCCCTCAATTCTAGTGAACATATTTTAGACAATTTGCCTATTAAGGATTTTTCTGAACATTCTCAAGACAAAAATTTTTAAAAGAAACAAATTTTCTCTATAAAGGATTTTTTCCATAATGAACATGTATATTTTCTTAGAGTGTGTGGAGCCCACTCTTCTCTTGATAATCTTCATAAAAACGTCTCAATGACTCAGGAATCCTAGGTGTCACAGTGCTCAAGGCTTGAGTGAAATGCTTTTTCATAATGCAGTTGGCTTGAATGTCTTCTTCTAGAGCCAGAAGAGCTGCCTCTCTACAGACAGCTATAATCTGAAAAGAAAAAGAAAACCCAAATAAAAGGAGAGAGAAAACAATCACTATTTTTTTTTTGAAACACAATATTTTAAATAGTCATCTGTGGTAACTTATACAACTATAAGCACATTGCTAAAATTTATCTGTAAAAGTCATTCCACGTCAGAAGTTTTCAAAAGAATAAAAAGTAATCATATAAAGAGCTTTCTGTTTTTTCCTTCCTTTCCAAACATTGTATTAATTTCTCAGAACCAGGAGTGCAAAAAGATGTATACGATGTGGCATTTGCTCTCAATTGTGAAGGTAGATAGACACACATGCACATACTTTTAATTTTAACACAGGATGGTAAAGGATTAGTGTGTATATGTGGTGAGGGAAGGTAGGAACCAAGTGATGAGGGCGAGCAGAGGAGGAAGATTCTCTGATACAGTGGAGTCCTGCTCATCAGCACATCTTGTCATAGCATAGAATTTCCACATTCCTTTCAATCTTTGATGTCTTACCAAAATGTAAAAGCATTTCTTTATGTGTATCTCTTTAACAAGTTTTTAAATCTTAGGAATATCGGATAGGGTTGTCAACGTTTACTTTGAAGAGCTGCGTTAGAACCGAGAAGCAAATTCTGTTTACTCAGCTAGGAAAGCTGGAAGAATTGAAAAGAATCTGGGGAAGGGGTGGAATGGATGCAGGAGGAGGGAGTAGAGATTAGGCGGTAGGAAAACGGAAGGGGAGGAAGGTTCAAGAATCCCAAAATGTGTTTTTAAGCTCTCTGGACTTCAGACAGCGGAAGCAGGCTGATGCCGGTGTCATTCTAAAGACACATTACTGTGGTGAAAAGAGCTTGTGGGATGAAAAGAGATATTGTGATTTTCAGGGCAACAGGGAAAACAGTGATTGATATTGACTGCACCCTTATATCGGTAAATGAAAGGGCCAGCTGAAACACATTTGTCCAGCCATTCAGCATATTTTCTCTGTTTGTTCACTTACTGAAAAGAGTTCCTCTACTTATGCTGGGCTAATGGCTGCCAAAGCAGTTTAGTAGCTTTCTAGGGGATTTAGCAGCATGTTTAGGAAGCTTTCAAAAAAACATGCATAGATTTAGATGGCTTTGTCAAATTACAACAATGTAACTATTAGTTCTGGGCTTCATTAATGAGCACTGAAGTTAACTAGAGTGGTTATGCATGTTAATGCTTTTCCAAAAATAGAGTGGGTACAAAGTTGATGGAGGAAAAAACAAAACTTTGAGGGATTAGTAAAACCATTATATCACATGTTCTGGTGCAAAAAGAGTTCTTTTGAAAATAAGAATGTGATAATTAATAAGCACAGTAACAGCCTGTGAAATGTCCAGTATGGTAAACTGGCTATTCACTGGTTCTACTGTGTCCCTGGGGACCTCTATGGGAGGTGAAGGGACTAAGTGGGGAGAGTCCCCACCTATATCCCATTTGAGGCAGAATTTCTTTCACCTGGACAAGAATTGGAAACAATGGTTGCAAGGCTAAAAAGTTTGAAGAATCACTGGAAGAGGGAAAGAGCATTCCTGCTGGGTGGTAGAGTTCTCACTCTCTCCTACCCGCTCCCTATACAGTACAAGGAATGTGTCCATGACGTGGCTGTCTCCTCAAGCTAGGGGAAAGAGCAGTTACCAGCCCTGGGCCAGTGCCACATGGCACACTTCATAACTGAGATCTGCCTCAGAGAATACAGAGCTTAGCACACAATGGTTAGAACATTTACTGAGTACCTACCATGTGTGCTAGACAAATACTAATTACTATAGTAATTAATTTTTTGTGACACTGATGCTCCCAGGTTCTACACAATGCAGTGATCTTGCTAATGGAGATGTGTAAACTCTGATGGAAATACATCAAACGGAGTGGCCAGGTGAGCACGTGTAAAAGTGGTGGTGAGTGGCAGAGTGGGGGTATTGGGTTGGGATGAGGAAAGGAAAGGTGACCAAAAGGCTGCCTGGAACCTCTCACAGTTCCTGGGATTTGGATCACGTGACCAGACAGATGGTGGGTGGCTTGTACTGTTGGCACATCTGAGAAAGGGAACCAACAGTCTGGTAGCCTTCCTCTCTCAATACATAGTAATTAAGCTGGGAGAAGAAGAAATTATTGTACTCTTCTAATCACTGGAATCTCACTCAGGCAGCCCAATGCAGCCGGGTAGAGAAACGTAGGTAGAGAATGTGGAAAGTACAATATCATTGGGGCCTAGAAGGCTGTCTTTGGCGTTGAGCTCCATGGAGCAATTCCTCTTTGCAGATCGACTTTCCTTCCTTCACAGCTGCATCTATAGATTTTTCTATAAGCTACAAATTGCTTTTTTTTTTTTTTTTTTTTTTTTTTGAGACAGAGTCTCGCTTTGTTGCCCAGGCTAGAGTGAGTGCCGTGGCGTCAGCCTGGCTCACAGCAACCTCAAACTCCTGGGCTCGAGTGATCCTTCTGCCTCAGCCTCCCGGGTAGCTGGGACTACAGGCATGCGCCACCATGCCCGGCTAATTTTTTATATATATATATCAGTTGGCCAATTAATTTCTTTCTATTTATAGTAGAGACGGGGTCTCGCTCTTGCTCAGGCTGGTTTTGAACTCCTGACCTCGAGCAATCCGCCCACCTCGGCCTCCCAAGAGCTAGGATTACAGGCGTGAGCCACAGCGCCCGGCCTACAAATTGCTTTTTGTAGTAGCTTCTTCCATGGTAGTGACAAAGAGGGCACTGGTGGTGAGATGGTCAGAGAAGTAGTGACCACTTGTAAAGCGGATATTTGTGACTTGGAGCCTCTAGTATATGTTAACATTTGAGAGAAATTCCCCTACTATGTGTGGTACTGGCCTGACTCTTCATAAACATCCAACTTTAAGAACTATAAAATTGTGAGATATAGAAAACTTGGACAGAGTTTTGACCACAGCACTGAGAAATGTTGGATTAGACAGGGATGACCTACAGAATCTTTGAGAAACAGCAGCTGAATATGGAATATGAATGAAATATGAATATGAATGAAAAGAGAAACAGCAGCTGAATACTAGTTTTCACAATTCATATGAAGATGTGCTCCTCTGTGTAGATGAAGGAGTGTAGTTGTCTGTGCTTCTTATGGTGGCAAGAAGGAATGCCTGAATTCAACACTTGCTTCAATGAACATTACCCTGTTTCTTTTTATTTGTAACGGATACCCTGAAGAACCATTCAATAAGGCAATTCTTTGTGCCACTTTTACTTTCCTATCATATTTACTTGGTAATATTTACTTAGTTACAGCCAGTAACAGAGAGAACTGTAACTAGGACACTATGGGAATTAGCCATTCTTTCATCAGTTAATATGCAATGAATGGCTATTCTGTGCAATAACTATGTGAAGCCAGATGGAAGGTCCAGAGATGTCCCAGACATAGCACCTGTCCTCCCACGCTCACAACCGGTAGGGGATGCCCACAGGTTAACTGCCATGTGTGGCATGGTATTAAAAGTACCATCAGGGAGGCAAAGAGAAAGTGCTTTAGTGTGGAGAGAAGGAAGAAATGACTATTTTGTAAACCAAAGTGTGAAGGACAGAACTGAGACATGCATACAGGTTAGGAAGGGGCATTCTGACTAGAAGGAATAAAGTAAGCCCAGAAACAGCCAAGTAGGAAGAAACAGACCAGGGATTACACCGAACTAGCCTCAGTAGCCAAAATAGAGAATTAAAAAAAAAGAGAGAGAGAAAATAGAATTTACCATATGAACCCCCAAAAATTATCTCTGAAAAAAACCAAAACACTAAGAACTAATTTTATTATCGTTAAGCTATAAGCCAAATGAGCTATACTGTAGGTTGCAAGCACTGTTTCTTGATAATTCAAAGAGGCAGTAGAAATAAGACATGAATATAGAAGGGGTTAATTTTAAATAAAGTAATAATTAGTAAATACTCTACTAAAAGAGAATAACTCTACCATCCAATATCACTAAAATTAACAATGACAGAGTTTTCAAAGTCACATGGGCCACAATGACAGTTAAAGATAGTCAGTGACAGTCCTCTCTAAAGCTCTAAACCAAATCCACAAGCAGCTGACAGAGCATAACTCCTAAAGGTTCCTTTTGTTTTTATTTTTTCCTCATAGAAGGGCTTCTTAGTAGAAATTCTAAAAGGAAAAGCATTTACTGGATTGTTGGTTCTTCTCCTCTAACCCAAATAAAAAGGCAGGTCCAGGAACCAATGTATTCTTAGGACACTCACTTCATCATGACTGGTTTCAATTTGCTTTGAGAGCCAATCACGTTGGTATGAGTTCTGAGATATGATATTTCCCAAGAAAAGTACAGCTTTCCTACTCACTCTCATGGCCCATGCCAGCATGTCCCTTGAACTGTTGCTTTACAACAGTGATACACTCTGAAAAATGCATCATTAGGCAATTTTGTTGTGTGAACATCAGAGTGTCCTTATACAAGTCTGGATGGTCTAGCCTATTACACACCTAGGCTATCGGGTATCATCCTATGGCTCCTAGGCTATACAACTGTACAGCATGTACTGTACGGAAACTATAGGAAATTTTAACACAATGGTAAAATATTAGTATCTGTTAAGGGAAGGAAGTATTCCATGATCAAATAAGTTTTGGGCAACACTCTACAGGTTGAGTATCTCTTATCCGAAAAGCTTGGGACCAGAGTGTTTCAGATTTTAGAACATTTGTAGTATACTTACAAGTTGCATATCCCTAATCTGAAAATCCACAATCCAAAATGTTCCAATGAGCATTTCCTTTGAGTGTCATGTCAGCACTCAAAAAGCTTTGGATTTTGGAGCATTTTGGATTAGGAATTCCCAACCTGTATATATTCTGTTTCCCATGGTGCACAATAGAATTTTAAAGATTTTATAAGGCCTGGCATGATGATCAGTTTTTCTTTAACCCAGTACCATGGTATGAATGTTTGTGTCTCCCCAAAGTTCTTATGTTAAAACCTAATCTCCAATGCAATAGTGTTAAGA